CTGCAGTATAGTTACTCTCTAGTTTGTGGGTCACGCAACTTGGAGCAGGGTAATATGCAATTTGATTATATCACGAGTGTTCCCCTGTTGCCGTCTCATGGTGTTTTCTTTGTGTCTTTAGTTATGGAAGGACTTTTTTGGTAGCTTCCAATCTTTTTAATCAGTAGTTGTTCTGAAGTTAATGATTTTGGTGTGTTTGAGAGAAGAGGTAAGCTCTAGGTCCTTCTAATCTGCCATCTTGGCTTCCGGCCAGTTACGGGGTTCTTAATGTATATGAAATGTATGTGAGAAAATGCATACGTAGTTATTTTGAAGACTTAAAGCAGTAAATAATTTAGCATACTGTTTGTGTGTTGGCTATAATTTCAAGCTATGGAATCTTGTGTGTGAACTGAATTTGTCTTGTTTTTATACATTGTTCCTTGTTCATTGTAGGCAGTAAGTATTAAGTGAGTAAGTGAGAATGTTTGACTGGTAAGAATGAGAGGACATTTAGTGGAATACATGTGTGTTACCCTTGTGAGTTTGAGGCTTAATTTCTCACATCTTTCTGGTTTATACTGCATTTGCTAATGAAGTTTGAATTAAATATTTTGAATTACAAGGACCTTATTCCTGTTCCTTATGTTCCTTATAAATGATGCTTATAACATTAGGTGATCTGAACATTGAGGTCTAAGATGTTTACTGAAAGTTCTTGTCTGTGAATGTTTCTGTTAATTACAAGATCAGTAAGATTTACTCTTTACAAGTATTGGGTGTAATTCATTGCTGGTAAATATTTCAGTAAACTTGGAGTGGACGATCATTTGCATAACTCTTGGCTTGTAGATATTCCTGATATAGCAAGAAACTTAGATGTGTGCTGTTACAGCTGTTGTTCAGCACTGTTTTGAAAGTTCTGATAAATATAATGCATAAAAAAAAGAAAGGAGGAGGTCTAAGTAGCTGAAGGGCAGCTCTCATTCACATATTAGAATGTTAGGTTGGCCATAAATGCCATGAAAGTGTCAGTCTTGTTGATCTTTGCAACCCAAGCACTTAAATAGTGCCTAGCATAGAGTTGAAATTCAGTAAATAATTTATTGACGGAATGAATGATAAAGATTCTGTGCCTTCTTGGATTTTCTAGCTACTCTAGTAATTGAAAAGCTGCTGGAGTTAACAAGAGCTGAGCAAGACTGAGGTTGAACTGATAGAATGTGTCTGGCTTTTGCCTTGGGATGAACTCTAACCCATGGTCCCTATGTAACAGGTTATACTTCCTGTAAATACCAGTTTGTGGGATTGAATCTGTGTTCACTTAGGTTGTGAAAGCCCTTTTGCTTGCTTTTAATCTGTTATATGCTTGTTTCTCTTTGCAGTTCCAATTGCGGAGTGGTAAACATATACAGTCAAGATTCTTGTCTCCAAGAAACAAACCCAAGGCCGATAAAAGCTATAATGAACTTGGTTACAGGTGTTACGTCTCTGACCTTCAATCCTACTACAGAAATCTTGGCAATTGCTTCAGAAAAAATGAAAGAAGCAGTCAGATTGGTAATATTTTTTTACCCTTTCCTTTTAGCATTTTAAATTTTAAGTTGGAATTTTAAAGTTTAAGTTGAAAACACAGAAAGATAATAGAAAAGTGTTGGATTATTTTAAAAAGAGTAGCCTCTTTTGGTATAGAAATTGTTAGTATTGCAGCTTTTGGGTGTGATTGTAGAAATGATGCGCAGTGGCCACCATCTTTGTATTAATATCTGTTCTTTTTGGAAGGCCGTGTCTATTCCCAGCATTCCTTAAGTGGTGGTCTTCATTTTCAGAGCTTTCAGCATATGTATGAAGGAATGTATTTAAAGCAAACACTTTATTCCTCTATAATTTTCTTTCATCTGCCTTTTTAAGGCCTGTTGTCAAAATGGAGTGTAGGCAGTTCTTAAATTTTGAAAATAAATTGTGTGAAAAGATTGCAATTTAAATAGCTGGATAGTACTTAGAAAGGTAGCTCTGTGCCAGGGGTCCCCAGGATCTCCCCGAGCTTTGGTGAATACAACAATAAATAGGAAGACTGGAGGATGCAGTATATGGTCATACTCATGGCTCAGAATTATTGCAGGGAAAGGATACAAAGCAAAATCAGCCAAAGGAAAAGGTGCCTGGAGTGAAGCCTGGAGGAAGCCAGGCACAGGTTTCCAAGAGTCCTCTCCCTAGTGCAGTCACACAGAGCATGTGCAGGTCCTCCAACAATGAATTGTAGAAACATGTGTTAAGTGTTTTCTACTGGAGAAGCTCTTTAAAGGCTCATTGCTCAGTTTTTATTGTGGGTTGATCATGTAGGTACCCTCTGCCTAGGTGGTACCAAAATTCTAGGCCACAAAAAGTAAAGGCAGGTGTTCACCATAAACCACATTGGACAAATTGGTTAAGCCCAGTGAGCCATCCTTATCATTCAGAGAAAGTTTCACATCAGTGTAGGGACTTGTGTACCAGTCAAGTTCTAGACACTATCTAAGGGTCACCCTTGCAAACAGGCCTTTCTAAGGATAGCAGCCTCAGGCCTGTGTTGACTCTTTTTCCTCCCAGCCTCAGAGCTCAGCGTAAATGTCACTCCATCTCTGTGAAGTTTTCTAACCTTCAGGCAGAAACAATTTCTTCATTCATTTAACAGATGGTCCCAGAGATTATCATACTCAGTGAAGTACGATAGAGAAAGACAAATATCTTACTTATATGTAGAAACTAAAAAAAATGATACAAGTGAACTTATTTACAAAACAGAAATCAACTCACGGTCATAGAAAACAAACTTATGGTTACCAAAAGGGAAATGGTGGGGAGGGATAAATTGGAAATTTGAGATTAAGAGATACATACTACTATATATAAAATAGACAACCAATAAGGACCTACTGTACGGCACAGGGAACTATATTCAACTTATAATAACCTATATTGGAAAAGAATCAGAAAAAAAATACATAATATGATCACTCTGCTGTACCCCAGAAACATTATAAATCAACTATACTTGAATTTAAAAAAAATTCCACAAAAAAATTTTGAGTGAAATAATAGTCCTCAGAGGATCAGCTCACCCGAAGTTGTCAACAGCTGGTAAAGCACAGTGAACTGTGATGCTTGATTCCATATTCTAGCATTTTAATGGTTTTCCAGCTAAGTTCCTTAGAGCCTTAGAATGTGTATAGGACTTCAGATGGCAAGTGGGACAAGTAAGAATCTCAGCTCCGACCTGTATCATATAGAGCAACTTCACTGTTACTTGTGGTATATATTGGCATTCTGCAGAAGATTTTCTTTGAGGGAAGAACAGGTTCTGCTAGAAAAGGAGTTTGAAAAATACAGCATTGTGTTTTATTGCCTCTCACTGAATGAATCATTTGATAAATGAGAGGTTTCTAATTCAAGTCAGCTTCAAAATCCTCACTCCTCCAATGGGAGTGGTGGACTAGTACATATTAACCTTTTATCATTTTAATGTTAGTAAATTGTGTTAGAAAACCATAGGGTCTCTCTCTGTTGACATAATGTATTCTGCAAGATGCCTGGTAGTTAGTTCTGCCTAGTTTGCTTCAGTGATCACAGCAGCATTTATGGTTTTTTATTTTGGCAAAATCACACAAGGAATTCATTAGTAACAGCCAAATCCCATTTTTTAAATGGTAGTCAACCATAATATCTAATGGAAAGAAGCCAAGCATAGCAGCCTCAGAATGCCTCCGTGAAGCAGTGTTAGTATCCTAAATGCAGTCTTTTATAATGATCCAAACAGTTCTGTTATCCCAGCACAGAGCATTGAATAGAAATCTAACCCATTGCTTAAGGAAGAGACCCAGAAGTTAAATTGTTGTTCCATTTACAACCTTGGATGTTGTAGAAAGTTGTGGAACTTCTTATTCATTAAATTAAGGATGAGAGAATTTTATTTGTTCAATTTTGATATCTGGGCCCTTAAATGTAATGACAGAAATAATGCTGGAGATAAAGGTAACTTTCTTAGTTAAAGAAGTTGGGTTTTTATGGGGTTTTTTCTTATTAGTTCAATTATAGCTTTTAATACAGGGATCATAAAGAGAGGTTGGAGCACAGCTGAGTTCTAACCAGGTGAGGGTCATTGGTCTGAGGGAGGACGTACTACCACGGTGAGAGGTTACACCGGGGAACTTGGCAGGTGCATCCAGTTGAGTCTTTTAGGAGGACATTGTAAACATGTGTTTTGCCCCTGGTATCGAAGTCAGTAGGGGAGATTAAATTTAAAAATAAATTGTCGGTAAGTTGGTGTTTATCCTCCATCAGGAAGGACACACCAGCTTGTTGTGTGAAGCCATGGCCATTCTGTGTGGTTGTAGGTGTGTGGTGCACAAGGGCACCACATCTAAAGGGATACCATTTACATCATAAACTTTTGTGTTTGTATATATTGCAGTATTTATGGTAATTTTGGTAACAGAATTGTTCTGTTTATTTAGCTAGAAAAATACACAGCTACCTTTTGATAAAAGTGGGCTTTAAAAAAATTGCTGTGTGTCTTGTCAGCTTCTTAGTTTTAATGGGTCAAGACCACTTCTCATTGGCACTAATACCTTTGCATTGATGCCATGCCATGCAGGCAGGGCCTGCTTCCTGGAGAAGTTGAGAATAATTGAAAATGGCTTAGAGATTTACTGTAAACTTTCCTTTCTTGACAAAATGGTCAATACGTATTTATTAGCCTAGTCACTGACTGAAACCTGTATAAAAGACAGATGTATCTAACTGCGGGTTTTGCCAGGTTCTTGTCTATGAAACTCACTTTGATTGAGTGGTTTAAAGTCTCATCTAAAAATGTGAAGGATGGTAGACTACCAAGATAAATGGCAGGATGATAATTCTGTATGTATTTGAGTGTGAGGTGCTGTATTTCTTGTGTGAGAATATGTGAAAATGAGCATTGTTAAAGTCCTAGTCTGCTTAAGGCAACTGCTTCTGTGCGTGGCTTTCATTCATCCACAAACCGGATGAGGACTTGTCTTGCCTATCTTGGATTTAGGCACGTTTTCCTCGGAAGTAGACTTTCCTGGAGAGAGAGACCTGCCTCTTTCTCAATCAGAACACAGTTTCACTGTGAACCAGGTTTTCATGATTTAGCCTTCCTTGAAGCGAGATTGCAAAAGGCGAAGAATATATACCACATGGTTGAAAAAATTAAAAAGTGAAAAAAGGCAGTTATATGATACTGGAAGATTTGGTGTGACTCTGTCTTGGCTTCAGACTCTTCATAATGTTTAGAGTATCTGTTCGTTGTGATCAGATTCTAGTATTCTTTACCGTGTTACTAAGTTAGAGCATTAATGGGTACAGGTATTGATGGGTACTTTTCACTTTATTCATTTATTCATTTGACTCTCCCAGGCACCATGCTAGGTACTGCATTAAAAGCATCAAGAAAACACTTTTATTCTCTTCCCTCCCTTCCTTCACAGTTAATAGCACACTGAAAATCAGATTTTAATTTTGGATCACTGTACTTCATGTGTGCTACAGTCAAAATGAACTTTCTGTTCTGGCAAAAAGAATGAAGACTAAATGTTAAGAAAGATGAGTTCCCGGTTGTTGCCATTTAAAGCTTTTAATTATTTCCTGCAGGTCCACCTTCCTTCCTGTACAGTATTTTCAAACTTCCCAGTTAAAAAGAAGAATATTTCTCTTGTTCATACCATGGATTTTTCTCCCAGAAGTGGATATTTTGCCTTGGGGAATGAAAAGGGCAAAGCCCTGATGTATAGGTAGGTAATATTTATGCTTAAAAGTCAGAAATACCTCTCAGCCTCTTTTGAAAATGTGAAGATACAGTTGCTACATTCCCAATTCTGCAGTTATGTATAATTTATTAATTGTAATTATTAATTTATAAATTGTAGAGTGTTTATTCTGACTGTCATCTTCATATCTAACAAAATTGCATGTTTCTACCGCAAAATGTCACTAGCAGTAAGTTTACCTGGGAATTTTTTTGTGGGGGAGGGTGTTAAGCTGTATTTTGAAAATGTCAAATTGAGGAAACATTGCTGCTTTAATAATACTGCTCCTTTCTTGGTGCCTTATGTTTAGATTAACCTCTGTTGATTCGACAGTGCTCTGTTTATTCCACTGGATTTAAGTGATTTTTAAAAGGTATTTCTTTTCCTACAGCTGTAAGCTGTAAATAAGGATGTTAACTACAAAGACATCCAAAAGTTATGCTCTGTCCAGCATCTTTTCTGCGCTCAACATACTTGGCTGTAAAGCAGGAACAAATAAAATCTAATGACAAGGTGGCTCTTCGGGGAGAACTTGTGACTTAAATCACAGCCCCCTTTCCTTGCTCGCAGTGTTGGCAGTGAATGTTACATAGAACCTGTGCTTACGTTTGTATGCTTCAGGGAAGGTCTGCTTTAAAAGAAGCTGAAATCTGGGGTGAAGAAGAGGAGGAATATAAATTGGTTTTGAGGAGATAGTTGTGAAAAGAGAACCTAGCAAACAACAACGTGGTTTATAGTTTTACTTTGAAAGGAAAGTGGGTGAAACCAGGAAAACTGGTAATTCGATCCTTTTCATTTCAGGTCATTTTTGGAGTGATTTTTTTCAGTTTAGATTTTATAAAAGGATGCAGATTCTTACTGCACTTAGAAATTCTTTTCCATAGCTTTGATTTATTATAACAACAGAATTTTTTTCTTTTCCTGTAAGCCCCAAAGGCCATTAGAGTTTCCACCAGAGCATTGATCTCTAGTGAGACTGTCTAGCAAGTGGGTTGGACTGACAGCATTACTGTTGGATGTGGTTGATCAGAGCCTGACTTAATGCTTTGGAACAAGCTGAAGACTTTTATCTAAAATCTGACTTACTAGCATTAGAATCCTTCAGAATGTCAGCTTGAAGAGTCTTATGAGAATGATTGTGATTACATTTCTATACCTACAGCCTTCCTAAGTGCTGTTCTGTGATCTGATTGACGATACTCTGGGCAATCACAAAGTTTTGATGATTTGTCTTTTACTTTTTCAGGTTGCATCATTACTCAGACTTTTAAAGAGATGATTTGAAGTAAGAAAAAAATTTTTTTAAATCGATTCTACAAAGTTGTACGGTTACACCCATCACTGTCAATTGGCAGAGTGACCACACTGACTGATCTTTGTTTCTTTGCCTCTGGGTTGCTGCATCATCAGTTAAGGGAGTGGGTTGGAAGTAGATCAGGAAGAGCCTATCTGGCTTGAACCTCCCTTGGGAATTTCTTATCGCAAATCATAACAATCTGGCTCTGTTCTTATGCTAATACTGTGTCCATAATGGTCATCAGAATTTTAATTACTGAATATTTAAGCCATAAAGGACATTAGACTTAACTGAGAGAGGTAAGTATTTTTAGACATAATCATAGCTTCCATGAGCTCAAACCCTTTTATTTTGTATATGTTTCTTGAGAGATTATGAGTGACTTGCTTTGTAGCTTGTTAATGGTGGCTTGTCACAGAGCCAGTTAAATGGCTGGTCATTAGTTTTGCTGCCATATATATATATGCATAT